AGAGGATATATTTTATCATGTAAAAAAATTTATTTTCTATTTTATTATGGTCACGTGAGTCTGACATGTTACCTTATAGTCCTTCTAAATAATGTATTTACTTTGTAGTATGTAATAGAGTGTAAGATGTCTGAGAACAGTAATACCTTTATTACTATTGATTTTATATCACTAGTAGAGTGTCTGGTAGGTCCTCTTTAAACATTGTATGAGGGAATGAATGAAGAACATATAAACAATATTTTAAATAATTTTATTGAGCATAATCACATATTACAGATGGACCCATTTAAAATATATACAACTCAGTGGTTTTTAGTCTCTTCATGAATTGTAAAGCCGTCTTTACAATCTAATTTTAAAAGGTGAAAGATTATATGATCTGAAGAGAAACCAGAGTATCTGCAGTCTAATTTTAGAATATCTTCATTACCCTCAAAAGAAACCCCATATTAAAAAAAAAAAACAAAACCAAAAACCCATATTGGCAGTCATTCCCCATTCATCCTGTCTCCCAGCTCTAATTTATTTTCTGTTTCTAAGGATTTGCCTTTTCTGAACATTTCATGTAACTAGGACAGTATAATATGTGATCTTTTTAGTTCACTCAGGTATATACATAGGAGGGATTGCTGGGTAATATGGTAGCTCAATGTTTAACATTTTGAGGAACTGTAAAACTGTTTTCCATAGTTGTTGCACCATTTACAACCCCCCTAGCAAGGTATGACAGTTCCCATTTCTCTGCATCCTTGTCATCACCTGTCATTGTCTGTCTTTGATTTTAACCTTCCTAGTGGGTGTGAAGTGATACCTTATTGTGGCTTTGATTTGTATTTACTAATGATGCTGAGCATCTTTTCAAGTGCTTCATGCACATGTGAGCATCTTTTTCATGTCTTTGGAGAAAAGGTGTTCAAATCCTTTGTCCATTTTTAAATTAAGTTGTCTTTTTATTGTGTTGTAAGAGTTCTTTTATATTCTAGGTACAAATCTCTTATCAAGATATTTACACATATCTCATCCCATTCTGTGGGTTGTCTTTTCACTTTCTTGATGGTGTCCTTTGAAACACATATTTTAAATTTTAATGATTTCCAATATATGTATGTTTTCTTTTGTCACTTAAACTTTTCCTTTCATATGTAAGAAAACATGGCCTATTCCAAGCTCCTGAAGATTTACTCCAATGCTTTCTTCTAAGAATTTTATAATTTTAGTTCTTGCATTTAGGTCTTTGATCCATTTTTAGCTCATTTTTATATATGATGTGAGGTGTTTGTGTGTATGAGGGGGTCCAGCTTTATTCTTTTGCATGTGGATATCTAGTCCCAACACCATTTGTTAAAAAGACCAATCTTTACCCAATTTAATTGTCCTGACACTAGTGAGTATTTTTAATGTGATTTTTGTTTCTATCACAAAGTATATTTCTGAGTCAAGCATACAGCAGTTATCATATATAACTTTCTGAAAACTTAACAATGAATATATGATCATAAGAGGCTGCCATGATTCTCTTGCAAGTCCCCAAATAATACACACTTTAGTTTGAAGATGAATGTGCCATTATAGGGATCGGTGACATTCCAGGATGTGGCTGTGGACTTCACCCCGGAAGAGTGGCAGCTGCTGGACTGTGATCAGAGAGCCTTGTATTGGGATGTGATGCTGGAGAACTTTAGAAACCTCATTGCAGTGGGTAAGGACAGTGGGTGGCACCTCTTCACGGTAACATAGCACCTTTCCTGTGGGACTTGTGGACATTCTGAAGCATCACTGAGTTTGGCCTTGCATGTCAGTGGTCACAGATTTTTAATCCCCTTTGATATTAAGCATACACAGACAGTGAGTGTTTGCTTCCACCTCCCAAATGGAGGAGAAGCATCTCTTCTGTTCTAAAGTCTGTCTGTCATCCTTTCCAGGCCCTGAGACTCAAGGAGGCAGACCTGAATTGTGAGGGAGTCGTTTGTGTCTAGCACTTTGTCTCTAGTTCTGTGTTGTTTCCCACTAACAGGGAGTCCGGTTACCAAAACAAAAGTGATCTTCAAGGTGGAGCAAGGATGGGAGTCATGGATGGCGGAGGGGGATCGCCCACGCTGGCGCCATCCAGGTGAGTGAGAGGAAGCTGGGCAGATGGGAGTCTTTGGGACTGAGATCCCAGTTGGTCAGTGAGGGACAGGTAGCTTTGAGCACCTCTTTCGGGAAGCACCTCTTAAAAGCCGCACACGTTTGGAAGTGACTGGGTACACTTGACCCGACATTGTCTGGGCCCCAGATGACACCTTCACTTACTCTGCCCACACAGCTGCTCTGTGTCTTTGCTCAGCACTTGTATGGGGGGATGCCGCACTCCTCTCTGCCCGGGCTGCCTCCACTGCCTGTTTTATGCAGGTCCTTGTTTTCTTCTCTTAATTCCTCAAATCCTCATTCTTCTTTTTTCCTCAACATGATTACAGATTGGGGCTCCCGGGTGGCTCAGTCAGTTAAGCAGCCAACTCTTGATCTCAGCTCAGGTCTTGATCTCATGGTTGTGAGTTCAAGCCTTGCATTGGGCTCCATGCCGGGGTATGGAGCCTACTTTGTAAACAAAACCAAAAAAACGTCAAAAAACCCACACCTCTTTTTTGTACATATGGTTCTTATATTGTAATCAGCTCATGTGGATTTGAAGTCTTACTCCACCAATCACTGGCTAACCTAATTATTCTGTAGCATGATTTTATTTATAAAACCAGAGTAATATTAATCCTCACCTCAGGTTTCTTTTAAAGATTATCTGAGTTAATACATGGAAAACCCCTCAAGTAGTTGGCTGATGGTAAGCATTCAATATACATTGGCTGGTTTTTTGTAAGATTTTTTTTTAAATGTTTTTGTTTCCAAACATGCTACTAACATTATGCTCTAATTATTCCCCTTTTCAAAAAAAACCTTTCCATTTCTTATAGCATATACCCCACCTGTGCACCCCACCTTGCTCATCTTTCATCTCACTGCTGACTTGGGGTATCTACCTTTTATAGTGTATCTTTTTGCTTCACATGGTGATGCAGATGTCATTTGGAAATTCTCTCAAATTCTTCATTTGAGTTGGTTTCTCGCTAATCTGCCCTCACCCTCACTTCTTGCTTATCCACCTTTGCTTCTTGCCTTCGTGTTTCTCTCCAGAACTTCTCCCATAGAGACTGTCTCCCTCTGAAGACCTCACATGATTTTCTTTGTGCTGTCTGTGCCTCTCCAACTTCCCAGTCCCATCATTTTCCCCACCTGGCCTTAATCTCTGTTTTTTCATAGTAACCAATATTTAATATGCTTCACCCTTCAAATTTCTCTTCACATTGTGATCAAGGTTAATGACTGGCCTGCTGTTTTGCAGCCTCCGAATCACTGTGGTAAGCAACTTAGCTTTTTCTCTCACGAGCGTTTCCTTAAATACTGTTAGGACTTATTGCCAGTGATTTCAATTATTAGTTTTTCTAAGACCGATTTAAAATAAAATTTTCTTTTTCCACAGAGCCCATGAAAGAAGTATGTTTCAAATGATTAAGACACCAATTAAGTGTATCTTAGCTCCTGGACCCCAACTTCTAACACAAACCAAGTGAAGTTTAACTCCTGTTATGGTGTCTAGGCTGTTCGCCAATTCCATTCTATTTTCTGGTTTATCTTTGATGTTCCTGCAAGATTTTCCCAAATCATTTCATTTTCCTAGTCACTCTTCTGACAAATAAGCACAAGTTATTCCTTTACAACCTTTATTTAATAATACTTAAATGGCTTTGAAGGTCTCTTTAATGTGATCCCATTCTGTTTATCTGGAAACGGTCCATCTGGAATAGGTCCATCCCTATTCCATGGCAGTTGGGCTCTTTAGTGAACTTTGTACATGATTTAATTCTGTGCATCAGTTCTTTTCATACTGGTGTGCTCTACCTAACTAAAACCAGCATGCTCTTAAGTCTGAATTCAGTGTTCTCCTCTTTCATGGTAACTAGTAACTCCAGCCTACGTTAATCTCTACCTTCTTTGAACCTCCATCCCAGCTCTACTATGGTTCTTTCATGAAAACTTGACATATATTCTTTTAGATTTGTTTTTAATTTAGTTAATTATTTTTTTAAATTTACACCCAAGTTAGTTAGCATGTAGTGCAATAATTATTTCAGCAGTAAATTCTAGTGATTTCATCCCTTACGTATAACACCCAGTGCTCATCCCAACAAATGTCTTATTTCCCCTCACCCATTTAGCCCATCCCCGACCCACAATCCCTCCAGCAACGCTCAGTTTGTTCTCTGTATTTAAGTCTCTTATGTTTTGTCCTCCTCCTTGTTTTTATATTTTTCCTTCCCTTCCCTTATGTTAATCTGTTTTGTATCTTAAATTCCTCATATGAGTGAAGTCATATGATACTTGTCTTTCTCTGACTAATTTCACTTAGCATAACACCCTCCAGTTCCATCCACGTAGTTGCAAATGGCAAGATTTCATTCTTTTTGATTGCTGAGTGATACTCCATTGTGCATATATTCCACATCTGTATCCATTCATCCATCAGTGGACATTTGGGCTCTTTCCCTACTTTGGCTGTTGTCGTTAGTGCTGCTGTAAACGTTGGGGTTCATGTGCCCTTTGAAACAGCACACCTGTATCTCTTGGATAAATACCTAGTAGTGCAATTGCTGGGTTGTAGGGTAGTTCTGTTTTTAATTTTTTGAGGAACCTCCACACTGTTTGCAGAGTGGCCGCACCAGTTTAAAACCCTGTATGCTCTTGGGGCACCTGGGTGGCTCAAGTCGGTTGAGCATCCGACTTAGGCTCAGGTCATGATCGCATGGTTCGTGGGTTCAGGCCCCGCGTCAGGCTCTGTGCTGACAGCTAGCTCAGAGCCTGGAGCCTGTCTTCAGATTCTGTGTCTCCCTCTCTTTCTGACCCTCCCCTGCTTGTGCTGTCTCTCTGACTCTCAAAAATAAATTAAAAACATTAAAAAAAAATTTTTTAAACCCTGTATGCTCTTAAGGCATCTTTGTGCATGATAATGTCCTGAAGAGAAGGTCCTGTATCATTTTTTGTTTGTATTCCATTGCTGAGCACACAGTGGATATTTAATGAACATTTCGTTAACTTACTGTTGTAAAGTCAGGCTTTGTGGGGATGTTTCTTATTCTTTCAATGAGGCTTTTTTTACATTTCCTGAGGAGGATTTAAAGAAAGCAAAAAACAAAAAACCATTACCATTTTCCAAGTGTGTAATTGTAGTTGAGAGGTGAAACAGCCATATAAAATATTTTAAAATTTTATGAGTGTAGAAGGTTTGTTGGATGTGCGATAACATTGCAGTTTTGTTCCAGTTAATAGTCAGGATGATTGGTCTCAAGCAGCAGTGGTGACTCTTGGAAGTTAAGAGAAAATGGAGCTTAAAGTTTAAAGTGTGCAAAGATTAGAAGACTCTGTTTTTGAGATTATGGAACAATAGCTCCTCCCTAAAGAATATGTAAGTACTAAAAAAAAAAAAAGAAAAGAAAGAATATGTAAGTACTAGATAGGGTGAGAGGTGATGAGGAAGAGCAAGTTAAGGTGGGGAAGGAACATGAGCAAAACATTGTAGTTATTTAGAGTCTAGAATTCTTGGGACAGAAGGTATTTGTTCAGGACTAGAAGAATGCGTGCTTAGATATCGTGAGTGAGTTCATTATAATGTATAGTTTTGTTCACCAGGCTGATTGCCCTGGATTTTTCAGTTGGTTACTATTAGTTGAGGGAAGACAGGATGCTGCTTCCCATCAGTTGAAGTAGAGAGGAAAGGAGACAGGCACTCCAGTCTCCATGAAGAAATGTGTACTGATGGCTATAGACAGTGCTCGGGGCAGCTCCACAGAGAAGGCATGAGGCAAGAAGTTGGGGTGTCATACTAATACTACACAGGGAGGGAAATTCAGAAGGGGGAAATATAACCCTCTTTCCCTCTTTTTTCTTTTAAGTTTATTTAGTTAAGCAACCTCTGTACCCAATATGGGGCTCAAACTCAGGACCCTGAGATCAAGAGCCACGTGCTCCTCCAACGGAACTAATGAATTATTCCCCCCCCCCCTTTTTTTTTAATGGAGAGATGGATTGGAGACTTGTAGGGTGTTGAGGATAGGAAAGAAAAAATGTAGCCTCAGGATAAAGTGACTTCAGCTTTCTGGGGACTAGGTTGTTGAGTAGATTGAAAGAAAATGTAAAATCTGTACTTGTCAAATACAGATATTACAAATAGTTGTCATATATAGAAACCCAGACAGAACGAAAGCAATAGCAAGCAGACAGACTCTCTGCCTGGGCTTCCAGGTACACAGGAGAGTGAATCCCAGCTGTTGTCGATTGGTGCCCTCTGCACACATGTCTCACCTGTGATTTGGATGGAGTTAGAAGACTGGAGATATAAGAACGTTCTTGAAGGTAACTGCCATTGTGCCAGGTGATTAAGAGGAGAAAGAGATGTGAATGATGGAAATGGGGAGCTGTCCTACCAGGGTAACTTAGGACTGGGGTAGTGAGGACTCAGATTCTGATCTGCTCCCTTCAGATCTAGTTTCTCCTTCGATAATTTTCCCTTAACTCCTGAGTCTCTTGTTCCTCTGGTCACCACATCCATTGGTCAGATCCCTGCAATGGGTCTCTTCATTCTGTGAGATAACTATGCATCGACATTGAGCAACCTTTTGACTTCTTTGTGCCCTACTTACTGTAATTTGTGCCGATGTAACTATCTACGCATAGGTCACAAGTTAAGCCATTTGTTCTCATTGTTGTCATTCATCTGCTCCCGCTTCCTCTTCAGCAGTTTTATTCTTAAAGCTCAGGAGCAAGGCATATACAGGATTTATTTCAGAACTACATACTAGACTTGAAATCCTTTTTCTTTCAGTGACCGTTGATGGAAAAAATTAACTAGGCATGCTTTATTGTGCTCCTTTTTAGAAGCCGAGTGCCTACTTGTTGATGAATCAGAGAAGAACCAAGAAAGCAAAGACAATTTTTTGAATTCAGTTTTGTTCACATTCAGTAAAATTCTGACTATGGAGAGACTCCATGGTTATAACATGAGCTCAAGTCTTAATCCTACAAGAAAAAAACCCTATAAATGTAAATCATATGGGAAGAGTTTGCAGCCTGCTTTAGATTTATTTGATTATAATAGATGTTGTACTGGAGAAAACTCTTATGAATGCACTCAGTGTGGGAGAGCCTTCAAAAAGAAGTTTCATTTCATTAGACATGAAAAAAATCATACAAGAAAAAAGCCCTTTGAATGCAACGACTGTGGGAAAGCCTATAGCAGGAAGGCCCACCTTGCAGCTCATCAGAAAATCCATAATGGAGAGAGAGCCTTTGCGTGCAGTGATTGTGGGAAAGCATTTATGTACAAAGCACAGCTGGTGGTCCACCAGAGACTTCACACCGGAGAGAAGCCTTACGAGTGCCATCAGTGTGGGAAGTCATTCACTTGGAACTCCTCCTTTACCCAACATGTGAAATCTCATACGCTCGAGAACTCATTTGAATGTAAGGAATGTGGGAAAACCTTCAGGTATAGCTCATCCCTTTATAAACATTCTAGATTTCATACAGGAGAGAAGCCCTACCGATGTATTGTATGTGGCAAAGCCTTTGGTAACACATCTGTGCTTGTGACACATCAAAGAATTCACACAGGAGAGAAACCATATGAGTGTATTGAATGTGGCAAAGCCTTCATCAAGAAGTCACATCTCCTTAGACACCAGATAACTCACACAGGAGAAAAGCCCTACAAATGTAACAAATGTGGGAAAGCTTTTTCCCAGAAGTCAAATCTTATTGTACATCAGAAAGTTCATATATAATATTCATGTTGTGGATATGACAAAGCCTTAAATATTAGATAAATCTTATTAAGTAGAAGAGAAATTCATGTTGAGAACTCCACCAATTTGAATGGATTTGGAAGAGTAGATTCCCAGAAAAAATAATCAATGCCAACCATGTTCTGGAAGTGATAACAAAGTGTTTACAGAAAAAGATCACAGAAAACATTGATTTATAAATAATAGAGCATGAGCTTAAAAAAGTCGCATAAATTAATGAAGGAATTAGTGAAAACTACATTTACTATCCCTGATTTTTATAACAAATTATTGAATTATGCAAATGTGAGTATAAAATGTTTATGTGTTAAATTATATCTATTAAGAGCGAAGCACATACCATTTTTTCTTCCAATCCTAAAAACATGCGAGTGAAAAAATGTGGTTTAATATGAAGTACGAATTTCAGTAATATTTTTATCCATTTGCTGGCACTTTTCATGGGCCGGGCAGTGTTACTGAATCTCAGTCTCTTTAACTATAAAACTTGTTAAAAAGATGTTTTCCTGTGTATGTAAGCAGCAAAAACAAACAATATGCCCGTTGAGAGGGAAAAACATTTCTGTATTACAGTAAGTTGAAATTAAGTAAGTTTGTAAATAAAACATTTGCACTTCAAATACTCCTGTTTTTCATTGGTGTATCTACATAAGGTGTAAGCATAGCTCAAGTAATGTTTAACTGAGGTACCTTCTGTATTTGATTTTAATAGACTAGGGTATCATGATACTTTGCAACTTTGGGGAGTGAGTTTTTTTGTCTTTGTTTTCTAATAAGAAATCGATACAGGTTTAGCTCTTAGGGGTACCTGCAGTTGTCCTGTGACAGCATAGGCAGCATTAATCAAGGTGAAAAAGCAAGTGTCCCTCCTTAGCAACTTCACTTTAGAATGTGTTATCAGGTAAGCTACGCATATTCCCTTAAAAGGATGAACCACCCATTATTTAAGCTGGTTTTTATTGCTGTCCACAGTATTCCTGGAAGTATTCCTTGATGATGTCAAAAACCCTTTATGCCTTTTCTTGAGTAGTGACAAAACAACCTGAACCTAAATTTGGAAATCAAGCTTTTTCAACTTTAAGCTGAGTTATACCGTGTTGCATTTTCTTTCATCAGTCAGTTTTTGAAGACTAACATTGAGTAATGATTATAAATGAGAGATAGCGAGTGCTTTTTTGAACAAGCACACTAGAACTTAACGGAACTAAGTTAAATCTTGTCTACCAACAAAAATTCTTCACTTGACCAAACTTTAGTCAGTCACCTGAACCTTCCCCTAGGCCTTCTCTTCTGAGCACTTCCTTGTAAAATAGTTTTAGCAAGAATCTCATTTAGTCAGTTTAACCAGAACTCCGTGCCCTTGATCAGGTTCCTCATCCTCTACAATCCATCACCCTGGCCTGTCTTCAGTAAGAGTCATGTTAGATCGAATTAGCCAGAATCCTCCTCATCTCTGATGTTTTCTCTTAGTAATTTTTCTATCCATTGACTTCTGCCTTGCTCCTTTGCTATAAGTTCCCACTTGCCCATGCTGTATTCAGAGTTAAGACCAGTCTCTACCCAGCTGAAATCTCATTACAGTGGTCCTTATACCTATTGCAATGGTCCTGTCTTGCCATCTTTAACAAGTGATCTTGAATATCTTCTTTCTTTTTTTAAAATTTTATTTTTGAGAGAGAAAGACAGAGTGCAAGTGAAGGAGAGGCAGAGAGAGATGGAGACACAATCCAAAGCAGGCTTCAGGCTCTGAGCTGTCAGCACAGACAGAGCCTGATGTGGGGCTCGAACTCACAAACAATGAGATCATGGCCTGAGCTAAAGTTGGATGCACAACTGACTGAGCTACCCAGGTACCCCGAATATCTTCTGTCTTTAATACTCCCCAAGTGTTTTAGGAGACTACAGTCTGGTTTTACTCTTGTAGTTCCCAAAATTTCTGGAACCCCTTTCTTTTGGAATCGTCTTCAGAAACAGTTTGATAGCCATGCAGGAAATTCTTTCGATATTTATAGTCACAGGACTTGCCTTTTTCTCAGCTCATTGGTTTTCTCATTTCCTATATGAAATCCTCATTTTGTCCTAGTTTTACCATTCCCATCCTATCTCTCTTTCCCAAGCCTGTACCTCTCATCTGAGAAACTCCACAAACTACTACAGGAAGAGAGGAAGTAGGGGGCTCTACTGTTGCTAGCGTAATGTGAGCCCCTTGAAGGAGCAGCTCTGTGGGTAAATGGGGCAAGAAGTGTGTGATGGTCTGCTCTGGGAACAAAGGAATAAAACAAGGAATTCTTAATTGTAATATATCAGGAAGGATGTAATCTGGGATTCATAAGTTATTTTGCTCCCTTCTTTAAGTGGAAGTAGGAATACAGCAGTAGATAAAATTATTTCCAGTACTGGACAGATATAAACTGCCTCCTAGACAGCTTTTGCCACTGACCTCATTGTCCTGCTGTACAAGATTTTGGCAAGAAGAAAAACAAAACTATGCTTGGATTCAACCAAACATCTTAGATTCCCAGAACTCCTTTGTGTTCTGTGGCTGAAACTGCCACGCACAATTTAGGTGAGAAATCTCTTGATTGTCCCCACCTCTAACAGTTTGTCATAACTTGAGATTTTCTTTCCTTTTTTTTACTCTATAAAAAAGTAATTCAAAATGCCTTCTCTTTTATTTGTACATAGATGGTGTATTGGCATTCTCCCCCCAAGAAACTGTTCATTTTTCTGATTATATCATGTGCTAATTTTTAAGAATCAAATATGATAAATATAATGAAGAAAACAAAAAGTGGAAAGGGATATCTGAGCTTAGGAGTCCTCATGTTCTAGAAAAAGGTAGGGAGAACATTTAGGCCTTCTAAGATGTAAAAACTTTAAGGGTAACTAGAAAAGCATAGAAATAGACTAACTTACAAATCTGAAGATAGGAATAATGAAAACTTAATAAATCCAACAGAGATCAGGAAAAGTGAAAAGCGCAGAAAAACTCTATAGACTTTATTCATATTTCACTACTTTTCCTACAAATGTCCTTTTTCTGCTCTACAATCCAAGATACCAACAATGTTCTTTTTAACAATTTTTTTTCTTCCAGTCCAGTATCCAAACCAGGATTACCCACTGCTTTTCTTTTCTTTTCGTTTTGTTTCTTTTTTCCTTTCCTTTCTTTTCTTTTCTTTTCTTTTCTTTTCTTTTCTTTTCTTTTCCTTTTCTTTTCTCTCTCTCTCTTTCTACAAAGGGCATATGGATTTATTTATGTCATTTATTTCTTTTGTGGCATAACTTTATTTCTTTTTAAATTTTTAAATATAATTTATTGTCAAGTTAGCTAATACACAGAGTATACAGTGTGCTCTGGCTTTGGGAGTAGACTCCCATGATTCATTCATCACTTCCACACAACACCCAGTGCTCATCCCAACAAGTGCCCTCCTCCATGCCCATCACCCATTTTCTCCTCTCCTCTGCCTCCCCCATCAAGCCTCAGTTTGTTCTCAGTATTTAAGAGTCTCTTGTGGTTTGACTCCCTCTCAGTTTGTGACTATTTTTTTCCCTTCCCTTCCCCCATGGTCTTCTTTTAAGTTTCTCAAATTCCACACATAAGTAGTGAGAACATAGATCTTTCTCTGACTGACTGATTTCACTTAGCATAATACCCTCCAGTTCCATCCACATTGTTGCAAGTGTCAAGATCTATATACACACACACATATACATATACATTATATATATGTATGTATATATATATACCACATCTTCTTTATCCATTCGTCAGTTGATGGACATTTGGGCTCTTCTGATAAATTGGCTATTGTTGATAGCACTGCTACAAACATTGGGGCTATGCATCATCACTCCTGTATCCTTTGGATAATTCCTAGTAGTGCTGTTGCTGGACTGTAGGGTAATTCTATTTTTAATTTTAGAAGAGCCTCCACACTGTTTTCCAGAGTGGCTGCACCAGTTTGCATTCCCACCAACAATACAAGAGGGTTCCCCTTTCTTCACATCCTTGCCAACATCTGTTATTGCCTGAGTTGTTAATTTTAGCCACTCTGACCAGTGAAGTGGTATCTCAGTGTGGTTTTGATTTGTGTTTCCTTTATAATGAGTGATGCTGAGCATCTTTTCATGTGTCTGTTAGCCATCTGGATGTTCTTCTTTGAAAAAGTGTCCATTCATGTCTCCTGCCCATTTCTTCACTGGATTATTTGTTTTTCAGATGTTGAGTTTGATAAGTTCTTTATAGATTTTGGGTAATAAGCCTTTATCGTCTCCCATTCTGCTAGTTGCCTTTTAGTTTTGTTGATTGTTCCCTTCGCTGTGCAGAAGTTTTTATCTTGATGAGGTACCAATAGTTTATTTTTGCTTTTATTTCCCTTGCCTCTGGAGACGTGTTGAGTATGAAGTTGTTGTCAGTTGGGGTCAGAGGTTGTTGACTGTTTTTCCCTGTAGCATTTTGACGGTTTCCTGTCTCACATTTAGGTCTTTCATCCATTTTGAGTTTATTTCTGTGTATGGTGTAAGAAAATGGTCCAGTTTTCCTAGCACCATTTTCAAAAGACTGTCTTTTTTCCATTGGATATTCTTTCCTGCTTTGTCAAAGATTAGTTGGCCATACATTTTTTGGTCCAATTCTGGGTTCTCTGTTCTGTTCCATTGGTCTGTGTGGTCTGTTTTTGTGCCACTACCATACTGTCTTGATGATTACAGCTTTGTAGTACAGGCTAAAGTCCTGGATTGTGATGCCTCCAGCTTTGCTTTTCTTTTTCAACATTATTTTGGTTTTTTGGGGTCTTTTCCCACTGCATTTCTTTAGATTCCTTTAATTTGAAATAATTCCTCAGCCTTTCAACACCTTTCATGACATTGTTAGTTTTGAAGAATACAAGTCAATTATTTTGTTAAATGTCCCTCATTTTTGGTTGGCCTGATGTTTTCTATAATTAGACTCAGGAATGCATGTATGGCAAGTATGTCACATAAGTGATAGTGTCCTCAGCATTTCATGACAGGAGGCACAATGTTGACTTGTCTCATTACTGGTAACCTTGATGACTTGGTTAAGGTGGCATCTACCAGGTTTTTCCAATGTAAACTTACCACTTTTTGCTTTCTAATTAAGTAATTTGTAGGAGAACTATCCTGTTTCTCTTCCAGAATTTATTAGTATCTAATGAAATACAACATGCGCTCCAAGAGGGCAGGTATTTTCACCTGTTTTGTTCATTAGTGCACATCTAAATCAATGCCTGGTACATAACATAAGCTTGATCAACATGTTTTTGTTGAATATTAGATATATGCTTACAATAAGGCCTGACAGTATATACACATTTTATTTTATGTTTATTTATTTTTGGGAGAGAGAGTACGAATTGGGTGGGGGGTGGGGGAAGAGAGAGAGAGAGAGAGAGAGAGTGAGAGAATATCCCAAGCAGGTTCCGCACTGTCAATGTGGACCCTGACTCCAGGCTTGACCTCATGAATGGTGAGATCATGACCTAAGCCAAAGTTAGAGGCTTAACGGACTGAGCACCCAGGTGCCTCCACACATTTTATTTTAAAGGTTGGGGGCAGAGGGTTGAGGTAAAAAGATCTGGGGGGAAAAACATGC